GATTCTTCTTCAGCAGTGAATTTAATGATTTTTCTTCCATAGAAGTTGACCAAGTGGTAATTTTGAAGGTCCCTGGGAATTATACCCAAGGTTTCCTACAGCTGTAGAGCCCCTGCAGCTGTAGATCCCCTGAATGGGGGTGGTATTCTCTGTGAAGCAAAGCAGCATTTTTCTCAAAGGGTGTAGCAGAAAATAATTACTCGGTTCAGAACCAGTTGCATTAGAAAGTACAAATTTTAGAATCAAACACTCTCGTTATTTGCAATTTGCAGCCATCTAGTTTATTCAGAGAAATCAGCAGGCACAGTTTAAGCTGCAGCAGCTTATTTAGGGTTGGAACAAATCACATGTAGACAATAACAACCTCTGTGTTGGCATTGTACACCACAGCAATCTTTGGTTAATTGGATGGGACACAGAAATTATTGCAAGAAGACCTTACATTAAAGCATCTAGAGCGATCCTGGGAAAACATGACTTTGGTTGAAAAGCTTGTAGATAGGTACTACATGTGCTTCTCCCCACCTCATTCTGAAACCCATGTTCCCCTCCAAACCCAAGGAACCACACATCTCTAATGCTGCGTACCTGTCTGATTGTTCAACACTTTTCTGTATTGATTTACAGGCAAGTGGGGCTGACTCACAAGTTCATGTTCCTGATATGATGGCTGTCTCTTGACTATTGATAGATCTCCCCAGAACATGAATTTGCAAGGGAAATACTAAAGGTAGACTGAAATGACCTGCCCAGGCAACAGTCTCTCTAGCTCATATCCTAATGAAGTAGATCTTTAATCTAGGATGTGAATAAATTCATCTAAAAACCCAGGGGAAGAGCAGGGAAAGAGTAAAGAAGTAGTTGAGATGGGGATCTGTAGTTCCTCAACTTGGTCCTGTGATCTGTTGACTTTCCTGGTGGAGGGGGGGAAGAGGAAGTATTACTAAGCTGGTGGAGATGCACTAAGAGGTAGGTGGCAGAAAGAGCAGTAGCAAGGGAGCATTCGCATGCTGTGACCAGCGCATCCTTGGACTTCTGCAGGTGTGTTGTTATACACCACCTGTTACAAAAGACTCTCAAAGTGAACAGGCTTCCCGCGTTCACACTTCAGGCGGACCCTCTGGTTCAGAGTACGCCCATTGTATTTGCACCTTGGGAATCTTCCGGTGTTACTACAAAGGGTCATTGGGAAACTGCTCCAGCTATCGTACAATTTATCTCGAAAGTGAGTTCCGCCGCTTCCGCAAACTGCTATGATACTGTTGGGAGGGGCATGGATAAAGGTGTTGCTGAGTTTGCACCTCGGTCGAGTCATCCTCCTTCGCCGCATCATCTTGTTACAGTAGGCGTCTAGATTATTGGCTCCGGTTTTGGGATGATCGATGTGGCGCCTTGCAAAACGTCGGTAAGTTCTGGCTTCTCCGTAGTGCACCAGCAAAACCCCAAGAAGAACAAGCAGCTGGAGGAGCAGCCTGGAGACGGTCATGATGGGAAAATCGGGATCTGCAGAAGAGGACCAGAGAGAAGAAAGGGAAGGGAAGGGGAAGAGTAAGAAAGAAAAAAAAAGAGAGAGGAAAAAAGGGAGAACTAAGAAACTATAAGCATAAAAGTGAGAGTACATCTATCCATTTCATGGAACCATATCATTTCAATGAGGCATTAAAACACATTGTTACGTTTTTTTGATGTAAAATATTCTATGTATAAAAGAACCACTTTGTTAAATTTATTTCGCCATACTTTAAAAATAAGGAAAAGGAGAAAAGACTAAATCTGCAGCTCAGGGCTGAAGTGTGAAGTTCTGGGTGCTTCCTAAGCTTGGCTGTGTGCATGCAAATGTTTCATTACCCAACTAGATTACATCATCAGTGCAAGGGAGTGTGGGGCTTGTTCCCTGTTGATATGCAGTAGCTTGCCTTGCCAATGCTGGTGTGTGTGTGTGTGTGTGTGTGTGTGTCTGTGCTAGGGGTGGTAGGGGTGTGGTTTCCAAGTATGGAGAAACCCCACCAAAACATGCAGGGAACACTACTATATATATAAGCAGGCAGCAAACCCCACACTGACTTGCAACCCAAAAACCAAACTCAGACAGCACCAAGAACTATACAGCTA